TGCCTTAGCGTTAAGGTCATATCCCGCGAGACGTCTTGCGGTGCATGTAAGGGACTGTCTGTGTACCCCACTCTTCGAGCACACGAAAGTCCTCAAACGCTTTTCTGGTCAGAGGAGTAGAGAACTCTTCGAAGCACACGTCATAATATCCAAGTGCGACGCCTGCGTCAGTGCTCTTTCAGTAGCCTTATCGGAAAAAGAACAGTTTTACCTCAGCCTTCATCCCTGAAGATCCTTCCTACACACTATGTTGACACTGAATTCTTTTTCTTTTTTCTTTTCTTTTCTTGCTTTTCTCCTTCATTTTTTCTTTTCCTTATTTATTTCTTGTTTATTATTATTCTTTATTTTTTATTTCTTTAAATTTTTTAAACTTTGTTTATTTTTTTATTTTTGCTTCATGATATTTTGTATATAATTACAAAAAAGCAGCCTTCTGTTTCCTGTCCGATCTTTTTTATTTTCCTTCTTCTTTTTTCATCTCCTTTTTTGTCTTTGAAATGCCTCACTACTTTTCGTCTTCTTTTCTCTTGTAAATAAAACGCCAGTTGTTAGCGCTCTTTCCTGTCTCTCGTTCTTCCCTCCGTCGTCCTTGCGCTATTTTTTAATTATGGGCACATATAGACCGTTTTAGTGTGGGTAGCGCCCCTTTGAGAGCGAGAGAGAAAAAGGGGACAGGGCTACCCGCGCTTTCCGCCTTGCTGGGTCGTTAGAAAGAGTGCAAGTCCCGGATGAGAGACTTCGTCAGTGTTGGGTGCTTGCAGTGCCCGCACATCGTTCGCGCTTTCTTCTCTGTTTTAAATTTGTAAACTTGACTAGAGCCACGGGCTTTGATGGCGAAAGTCCTCCGGTCATCGGTACTATGGTGCATCGATTGCGTCTTCGACTGGTGTGTTTAGCGTCCTATCCCGCCCATACATCAAAAGTGGTCCCAATGTGGCAACAAATGACGCGAGTGTCATGCTGTTGCCTGTCGCGATCCTGGCGGTTGCCGTAGAAATGCTGGCGAAAAGCACGAGCGGACGGGAGTGTCGCTGTCGTCACGGCGCCGCTTTAGGCGTCCCAACTTCCGGCTGTCGTAGCTTCCGTGAACTGTCACAATGGAAAGCAACCTGCAGCAGAACAGGCGTCTGCCATATTTACCACAACTGTTGGGACGCCGCCAGGGTCACGACCGGCGACAGCATGACACTTCTATGACGTCATCAGGCGGAAATCGAGGGACCACTTTTTTGGCCGCGGTAAACACACCAGTCAGAGACGCGTTCCAGGCACCATATCGGTACACCTTTGCTGTGTGATAGGGTGCACGGATAACGACAGAAAGCGTCGAATATTATCCGAGGACCTTTGTAGATCAGGGAAGGATTTAGGAGTTGGTGTCCGAATGTCCTGACCCACTTATTTATTTCTGCATGTGTAAAATTTAGGGCGTGAAACGAGGGAGAGGGGGTTTCTAGATATATGGTACGCTGACCAACACCTGACCCCCCTCAGGAAATTCCTGCACCCGCCCCTGTTGTAGATTGCATGGAATCCGGCAAGGCGAGTGCGGCTGCAATGTTTTTAAGCTCCATCGCTTTCCGCATGACTGGAACTGATGCACCATTTATTAATTTTCGCTTGCAATGGGCCTATTTTAACGTAGCCGTTCTTACTAATCAACAAGCGGTAGACGACACGGGAACCTCAATTTACTTTTGTAAATACCCGGAGCTGCCACCGATCGCTTTGCTGCCCTGCCTTTATTTTGCGTTTCCGTGTTCTAATACTTACTTCTAGATGAATGACGAAGACGTTCTAGATGTACTTATATCAAACTGCAGAAAGCCTTAAAGCAGGCACGAATTATTTTACTTTTTGGTGCTATATTTTGATTACTCATCTCGATTTCTGTCGCTGGCCGCGTTCGCTTCCGCTGTTCCACCTGTCGCCGCACTGGCAGATGCCATGACTCGAAGAAAGAAAACGGGCACACTGGGCTCGAAAACGCAAATCGCAACACACGAGACGTACCCTGTAGCAAATAGCCAGCGCTTCAAAGCGCCCCAATCAACGGAAACGACCCACCAGCGGCCACTCCAAGGAGCGCTTTTTGCCGGCCCTCTGGTATCGCGCAGGGAGATCGCGATTCAGGGAAAACCGATAGAACTAACTTTTCAACAATTTCCAGTCACACCCAACGGTAATGCGCCCTCAACCAAGTGTTGTAGATAATAAAATCGAATCGATGTCACCACTATAAAATATCAATATTAAGATAAATTCAGTTACAAATTTTACAAGCTGAAGCAGCATATTATCGCGAGAAAACTCGCACGCACCTTGTGAGTGAACCCCATGTTCATCGGCGGTACAGCGTTCGGTGCGCGTTTCATTTACAAAACGTTTCGAGCACAGTCAAGAGGATGATATTTGAGAAAACGTCTTTTCGGTTTACGGACGCAATGTACTGCCCCCCGGATACCGGGTCACATGGAAAGCGACGGAGCTTAAAGACATTGCAGCCGCTCTCGCCTTGCCGTATTTCCTTGCAAGTTACATAGGTCCTCGGGCAGTATTCGACGCTTTCTGTCGTTATTCGTGCACCCTATGACCAAGCAATGGTGTCCCCGATGACCGGGGGACTGTCGCCATCGAAAGCCCGTGACTCTAATTACGTTTGCGAGTTTAAAACAGAGAAGAAAGCGCGAACGAAGTTTGGGCACTGCAGACACCCAACACCGGCAAAGCCTCTCATCCGGGACTTTCACTTTTTCTAACGATCCATCGAGAAGAAATGCGCCCAGTAACCCTTTCCCCTTTTTTTTCTCGCCCTCTTTCAGAAGAAAGGAGAGAGAAAACATGCCCTCCCCCCTTTCACCCCGGGCGTCGCTCTGCTGCGCCGAGTGGGCTGTACCTAACAGCCGGCCTGGCGTTCGAACTTGGTTTAAAATCACGTCATTTTGGAAATTTCAAGCGCAGATGCGCGGATTTTGATATGCATGTTATTCTGTAATGCTATGCTCAATAAAAAGTCTAACCGGGCTCAATTACGCTGTAACCCTTTGTGCAAATAACAACAACAAAAAAATAAACAAATGGGAGAACTGAGTTAGAGTGGCCGGTCCTCCGGTGAAAAGTAGATCCGGTTGCTGTAGCTTTTTTTACTATACAAATTTCGTACTGGTGTAGGCCTTTAGCGACAATGAGTGGAAGTCAGGAATAATAAATAAAAACGTGCTCTTCTGACGCAATGAACGCAGTGGTTAAGGTTAGTATACTGCCGGCGGACTCCACGGCTATTCAAGTAACGGGACAAAGGTACGCTAGTTGATCATTTACTTAAATAAATAAATCAACAGAGCGCTATAGGGTGATTTTAGAGTACCCAAAACTATTTTAAGAAAGCGAATCACTTCACAACAGCAGCCACGAGCGGGTGTCCGAAGTTCGAGACAGCCCGCCGGTACATCCCAAAGATGGAAAACGGCAGCCTCCCGGGTTTGACGTCTGCTAGCGGAATCGGCAGCGTGCCCTCCCCTCTCGATTTACCCCCGCCGAAACTGCTGAACTTTCCCGAATGTGTGGAGAGGGCGCTGCGGTTGAACAAAATGGCGCCGCCCTGAGATTGCTAAATGGAATGGTCTATAAAGCCCCGTAGACGTCCGGTAAGGTGGCGCTGTTTACATTGCATGCCGTTGACTCATGGCGGATAAACCCACGATTTAACTTCCGCGGCCCCCCCCCCCCCCCCCCCCCCCCCCCCCCCCCCTCTGCTCCCGTGGCAAGGTCGAAGCAAAGTTGAAATCCAAAGCATGATCCGTCGTCAAGAAATGAACGGCCAGATCGGACTTCGCCCGTGTAGCGTGTGCTGAATTGGCAACAAGTCTTCTGTGTTCCCATGAGAAGAGTGTTTCTTCGTCTACCCGTCTCACCCAATGTAAGTTGCGTCGCGATGAACATTTGATTACAAAAAAAAAGAAAGAAAAGAAGACAAGCCTGTTGTGTATTTTGCTCAAATAAGCAAACTCCACTAACAACGAGAGGGACAGGACAGAGCGTCTTTACGCAGAGTGGGATCCTTCCAAAAAGCCCAACAAACAAATCGGCTAGCCATGAGGTTGGAGGCAAAGCCCCTCTATCCCTGGGAAAAGTGGCGCCATTCATTGTTGTAGAAATGCTCGAGGCACGTGCCGCGCGCCACTTTTGGGAAATTTATGGCGTCTGAAATCTAGCTCAGTGCTGCGCTGTGCCGCCATGATCTTCCCAAGAGCTGCACGCTGCACGTGCATCGACGAACCTTGCGCCTACTTCTGAAACATAAAGGGGCTTTAGTTGGAGGTAGTCCCGCGCTCCCCCTTTGCTCCGTGCCCCGTGCAAAACCGACTCCGTGAGCAGGGGAGCAAGCGGGCCCGGGGCCGGGGGGGGGGGGGGAGGGGTAGTTTTGGCATCTCAGGGGAAGGGGGTGGTTTCGACGCCCCAAAACACCCCCTTTCCTACGCCACTGCATCAGGGTGCCACGTGACATCTTGATTGTCACACGTGACAATAAAACGTGACATCAAGATCACGTTTTATTCGCGATGCACGACAGTACACCAAGCGAAGACACCCTACGCACAGATTTTTCCCAGCCCTGCACGGCCGCAGGAAGGCCGCAGAACCTCCAGCGGCGCCCCAAAAATCAGCTTTCCCCCAAACCGATCGTGTCTGTGGAACGTACCCGACGTGTGACAAAAGACGCTACGTTATTCAACATAATGCTGCCTCCCTCCCCCCCCCCCCTCCCCAAAAAAAAAAAAAGAAAAAAAAAAGAGGTTCATACGCGCACGTTGCCGTACGGGTGTCATTTTATCATTCTGGAAAGTAAAAGTTATCACGTCCATGGAACGCTGCTACGGGTATTGGCAAA